AAAAACTTTCAAATCTTGAAAAAATTGGGATCTAGACCTGAGAAATGCAACTGCAGACTGAGTTGTGGAAATGAAATAAAACTGGACAGACTGAAAGGTTATTGGGCTGTGTTTCAGTACAAACTCTGTGAAAACCAAATAAAACTCTGATTCTCAGAAAATGAATCATTTTATGAGTTTGACTGTGATCATAAGTTATTAGTGACATTAACCAGCCTTGTGCAACACTTATTGTTGTAAAGAGCTCAAGTACAATTAAATAAAACTGTATCCACCGCATGTCAGAATCATATAATTCCATTTTGCATTTTTATTAGCAATTTTAAAAGTCATGGTCAATAACAAAGAAAACAAAAAATAGTGAAATTGTGAATTTTCAACCAAACAATGAAATGCACATTGTGCCTCGTGTGGGTCTTAGGGGGAAATAGTGCTACTCCAGTTTCAACCTTTTTTGAATTTTCATCATAATTATGTCAATATTCTCCCAAACGCAAACACTTCCAGTCCTGACGGAAAGTAATACGTTGAAAGACCATTAAAAATTCCCCCCCTCATTCTCACTCCTTTCATTGACACACATCCCATGCACATACACACAGCAGTCGCCCCCATCTTGTCCCCACCCTCCACTCAATAAAACTTTTGGCATGCCTGAGGTGTTGTAATTGGCAGCCAGCTTGCCATACCGATAGACTCCTCTCAGTCCTACGGGTCAAGAGTAATTTACTGAGCTGCTAAACGCCACCAGTTTTTTTTTTTTTTCCTCTCTTTCTACCCAGTCCAATCCCTCCTCCCCTGTCTCCCCCAGCATCCATATTGGAATTCCCATCCAGGCTGTATTACAAGCTGAGATGATGGCTTAATCCCTTGTTAATTAGGGACAACATCTCCAGCAGCTGAGGCTAAAGCGAGGAGCATCGAAGGCTCCTGAGATGCGAGGGGTCTGGCCGAGCTTGTGGCCTAGTCGGAGAGTCTGGCTCATTCTCAAAGAGCTGGCTGTGGATGCCGGGGGAGAGATGAGGGCTTGGATCTCTCACTGGATGAGGATTAAAAGGGCCTGCTGCCTAATCCCCCACTGATGGCCCTTCTCGGCTAATGGAACTTGGACAACTGGGCAACCGGATGCTGCTGTTGGCTCAGCTCTCACCTAAACCACTTCCTCTTCAGCTGGGTCAGGGTGTCACTGTGGCTGTGCTACTTGCTCATCAGAGAATTTGTTTCTGTTGGCCTCAATTGTTAATTTAGATCATACAAACTAGACAAAATGTCTTATTTCTTAGGGTATGTCGACCGATTTACAGTGAGTTCTTCCTGGTCACAATGTGTTAATGGATATTTATATGATTATCCTCTTTTCTTGACATCTATTGCTCAAACAAGTACATTTCAAAGAATGCGAGCACCATCAAAAAATGTAGTTTCCTTATCAATTCAATTTTAAAAGTGAGACTCGTATGTCTGAGATTCTTTACACACAGAGTGAATTTTGGGTACTAGAGCTGAAGAAATGCCCCCAGGTCAGGCCGTACCCTTAAATGGTAAATTGTTAGTCCGCCCTCACAAATTTTAAGGGAAGACAAACAATCCAAAACTCTAAAGGACAGCAGGACCCAACACTCAAGGTCAAATCCGAAGGATCTGGTGTAGCCCTGCAGCGTCGAATAGCCACACGCCCAGGCAATGCTACTACCGAAACATCAACAGTGTGGCCCACTGTCACCAAACAATGGAGCGCGTGGGCCCAACACACACACCTGGCCACACACCCAGAAAACTGACACTTGGCCACCACCCTGACAGCTTCCCTTTTATGGAAGCTTTGGCCGTAAGGAGGGTGCGACCTGTTACATTTAACATAAATTGTATCAGTGCAGCATGGCATTGTCTTTACAGAGGTTAAAACCAAGGTTTGCCCTTCATCTCATGTGCAGTGTTGGGTCTGGTGTTCCTCAGAGAATACTCTTGACAATATCCCATAGTTTCTTAAAGGGGTTTGAAGCAGATGAGTTTGCTGGCCAGTCATTAGTCGGGTATTGGTATGTCTGACTGTGCACGCATGTGGCACATCCTACCAGCATCTCCATGAAGTTTGTGAGCAGAAACAAGCTTGAAGTGCCGGCCAAGATTGTGTAGACTGTGTTATGATAATAAGAAAAGATTGATGTAAAATATCCTTTATTTTTTATGTAATTTTAACATCCTTGAAGATCAATAAATAGACAATATTCACATTTATAAATATACCCCTGTGTAAAAAGTGTGAATAATGGCCTCAGTTCATGAGTATAGCTAAGAAAAAACTGTGTTTTTTTCTTAGTCGTGGGAAAGAATATAAATGTGCAAAAAAAAAAATATGTACCAGGAGAGCTAAAAAAGGACCGAAAAGTGCATTTTCTTAGGTTTGCTTTTTTGGTGGCCACAAAAGCTCATTTTTTATGTCCCTGGTTAAACGTACTGTTAGCACAACACATCATAAATACAGCTAGTATTCTCTAAGTTCCTCCTACTTAGAAACACAGGCTCCCTGGGAGCTCCAAACTCTTGGTAATTATCCCGCACCACACCACCTGCTGTTTCTCTACCTGTGTGTCCACTTGCACTAGAAAGAGGTACATCACAGAGATAAGGCACGAAGAGAAAATAAAAAAAGAAAGATGTGAGATAGATATGTGGGCAGTAAAAATCTTGGAAAATTATCAACTCTATGCTTGAACAAAGTAAAAAAAAAAAGAAAAAAAGAAGAACCAATCAATGGTCCTTTGAATGGCATCAAAAAAAGTAACAAGTCTGTTTTCAACATGAGAAAGTACAGGACTGCCTGGAGTTGTGTTTACAGAAATACAGTTCAGAAGTCTGCAGATATTAGAAGCACATTCCATTTCACATACTGCTGTACAACAGAAATTCAAGAAATAGTACTGCTAAAATACTATAAAATATTGATTTTTATAGGTCACTCATGCTATCCATAACATTTATTTATTTATCTTTAAACTAATGCATAGGGTTCAGCAAGAATATAGAATGGACGTCTGGTAAAGTTTCTTTTCAAATATTTATCGGGCAGACTACTGCAGCTTTTTATTGTTTTGTTGTTCCAAATGTTGCACTGGTATAATAAGCGAACAAAAACTTCCCCAGACTAGTTAGTCTGTACAAAAAGCTGCTGCCAGACTCCTGATTAATATTCCACATTTTCTCATGTGACACCACTGCTAATGCAAATGCATCAACATTCACAAATCACAGTGCAAAATAAACAACGTCTCTCTACAATTACAATATAATTGTTTGGGAAAAAAGAATATCCATGAGGTAAAGTGAAGAAAATTACTTTACAAGTAGTAGAGCATGTTGATTGTTGCTTTTGCGCATTAGGCTTAATCATACCACCGTCGTATTTTTCACTGCACAGTGTATTCCTGGCAGTATGCGCTTCCTGCGCGAGGCAGCTCTGGTCCACCGCCCATTACTATGCGCCTCGTCAGCAGGCAAGCATCAGCCTGGGTTGCACTAACCATTGTCACTCCACAATCAAATTAGCCCTGCTGATGAGGCCTGAGCTCTGCGACCTCCACAGGCCCAGTCGCTTCCCCGCCTCACAAAAGACAAAGAAGATCTAAGAGCTGAATTCTTCAGGGATGACAGGGGTCCACATACTGATTTCTGATTAGGTTGGCTCGCCCTTTTATTTATATATATAAGTATATGCGATAGAAGTAATTGAGACAGGGTGTTGACTGCAATATGTGAAACCGATGCCCCCACCGGCTGTGAACTCGGTGTTGATGTTTATCAAAGACAAAAGTCTTTGTGTACTCTTTATTTGTTTGTTTTTTTAGATAAGGTTACTTCTGCTAGGTCCCAGCAACTAGCATATGTGTGACACTCTGACATTGACAGTCAGCTCAGCGTTCCCAAATCCCTCCAGACATGGCTTCCCTCCGCCTCCCTCCTTTTTCTCACGTCACCTTTCGTGGACGTTTGCCTGATTTAATGTGATGAGAGATGTGAGAGCGGATACCTGCTGCTACTTCCTTTTTGTCCTGCTGTGTGTGGATGCAAAAAAATAATAATAATCGTTTTACATTTGCATCCTTTAATGCTCATTACTTTCCAACTAAGGTTGACCAGGTATGAGAACTGTTATAAAATAGTGACAGTTTTACCAAACGTGTAATAAACATTTTGTTTTTTTACAAAACACTGCAGCTTTGAAGGGGTTTAGCTTTTATGCTATCACTTATTTTATGTGAAATATATTTTTTTGCTTGATTGTCATTATTTTGTAGGAATACGTTTTCACTTTGGCATCAATGTGTTTTGTAAATTCTGCTGTTAAAAAAAGCCAAATTTTGTTGTTCATCACTGATTTGTAAAAGCAATAAAGAGTAAAACATCCAAGGGTGAATTATTATTTATAGTCACTGAATGTGTCAACAAGGGAGCTGTTTTGGACAAAGAAAGGGCATCAATGACATCTCTTTACCTCAATACATGCTTGTCGTAATGAAATGGTATTAAACGTTGTTTTATTTGTCTAATCAAAACTGCAAAAAGTTTCTAAGATTCCCACTCAGTAGTACAAACATAATAAACTAATGTTTCCCATTTCTGACAGGATCATTGTCAACCAGTCCATTATAATTTCTTGTTTTGTCTAAGCTGACATTTATTTAGCAACATAAGACATTGCTTAGCATTACATGTTAAGATTAGGTTAACGTTAGATAAGTAATTAGCATTACATAATTAAAAACAAATAGGCTTTGGGCACTCTATGACATCATCATCTTCTGTGTGCGTTATGGGTGCATGAGAAGAAGGCGCTTTGCCAAAGGGAACTAGTGAGAAAAAAAAAAAAAAAAATCCAAAACTTTACAATAGTAAGTGATTTTCAAATAATACAATTTGCTTGTAATGGCCATTTCTGCTCTTCATCAGGAATACCATGTCATACTTTGAGCAAATATATGAAACAAGCCTTTTTATTGCAGGAGTGTTCCAGCTTCGCCCAGCTGACCTGCAGATTTAACGTGGATCAGTGAGGGCTCACTGAAAGTGGAGCGCGGAGGAACACGGTAAAGAAATCTCAATCAGATCACGCAATTACACTCTGGATGACTGCAGATCAGGTGGCAGCTGAATGGTCTCAGTGAAGGTTGAAAATGAGAGAGGGGGCTTCAGCAGGAAGTTCATGTCCTGTATTTTTCAAACATGTTAAAAGTGATATCTTGACAGTTTGAATGTTTTGTTTTTTTCTTTCTTTTTCCCTTTCAGACCACACTGCAGAGGAGGAACGGTCGACACTTACCCCTGTTAGCACTTAAAGAGAAAATCATCTTGTTACAGTTGTTAGGATTCTGACCTTTGGCTCTGTAATTTAACAAGTGTTTAACAGAGAAATGGAAAAGCAAAGAGAAATCAGTGTCAGGAGACATTATGTTGATAATCCTGCATCCCTGTTTGTTCATTTATCCCTGGTAGCGAGTTTATTTTGACCATCAAACATTCGAGGTATCAGCAATGTTTTCAAGGAAATCAATGATTAGAAATGCAAATGAATGTCACTTTTAGAACTGTATCTCTTAAAAGCATTGGGTTCTAATAAAAACTCTTAAGTCTAATAATTTAAAGCTAATGTCTGTGGAGAATCCCATTCTTTTTTTGTGATTAGTATGGGTGGAATTGCTAGACTTAATGAGAAAATACCAACATGCACAAGCTCACAACATCAGCATGTATTAAACTGATCTCTGAGGGGGAAAAGTGGCTGGATTTCATTTTCGCTGCATATTTAAAGCTTTAAAACATAAGACACAAGTGTTACTTTTGCGGCAGGAGAAGTTCAAACTTGTTTTACAACCAACACTTGAGTTTTACAGAGTTTGAACTCAGTGAAATGATCTGGTGGAAGCAGCGTGAAGAGATGAGTATTATTACATCAAAGCAGAAAGCCAGTGGCAGTTTTTTGTAAGGTATTGTACACTGGATGATACATTTGTAGTTAGTTGAAATGTTTGGAAGTAAATCTTCCAGGTGTCACTTGTGTTACCCTGGTTCGTTTATATTAACTTCTGGATAAATTGTTGCCACTTCTTTCTTAGATTTTTTTGTCTTTAATATTGTTTATTTCCTTTTAACTCTACTTCCAGTTTCTTTTTAAAGTCTGTTTGACTGTGAACACAACAGTTTGACCTCAGTCTCATGAAATAAGTCTAGATTTTGCTATAATTGTTTTGTTTTGTTTTGTTTTTTGTTTTGTTTTTTCTTGGGATTTGGTTTTCTTTTGTTCCAGTGTTGGAACAAAAGTTATCAAGACTTTCAGGTATACTCTTCTTTCTCAATGTGTGCCTAAATTGACTTTGTCTTTCTGTCATGTTGTAATTTCTATGCCTTTTGTGGCTCAGTCTTCCACTGCTCTCCTCCTTCGCTTCTACGTTCGCTTTATCTTTCTTTTTCTCTCCAGCAGCAGACTTAAATACTGATAGACCTCACTCTGGGTTTGATTAAGTCCCCGCTCCGCAGAATCAGACAGCAGACATAAATATCTGGGGGCATCTGAGAGAGAGACGAGTCAGTTAAAGAGGACTGAGTGTAGATCAGGTTTCTACCCCTGATGAAAATCAATGCGACTTGACCGGTTGCAAAGTGACTCAACATGTCAGCTCTAAAGAGAGCAGCCATTATATCATTAGAGCTAATTTCATCTTGCTCTACTTGTGCCTTCATTGTTATTCAGTCATTTAGTGAGGATGCGCATGTAGATGATTCACAACTGTCCATTGTCATAATTTTCACTGGGCTTGACAAACCAGAATTGGAGCCTTTGAATTGCTGTAGTGAACCCGTTTTCCTCGTAGCTCTTGGTAATTCCAATTTCCATTTAAGCAAAAGTCCAAAGAGTGAAATTTCGTTCAAATTCAGAAAGACAACAGGTTATTGTATTTCCATTTGTTTCTTATTTGGAAATCTCAAGGTCTCATCTTTGCTTTTGTGCAGATCGTTTGGTTCGTCTGTTGACATTTTCAGTGACCTTAAGCGTAAAAGTCTGATGTCCAAGGATGAGAATTAGCTTCTCTACGCCTGAAGCAATGATCCAGGAGTCTGTCTCCTTCAGTTGGACTTGTTCAAGTGGTTACCTGAGTCCGATGTGCTGAAAGCATGCAACATGTATTTAAATGCAAGTTGAGTACTTAAATATAAATCACTGTGATATTTATCAGTTGATCAACTATTAATTTATACACTCAGATTTATTTTATTCCCTCCTTTTAATGAGTAAGTATTTAAACATGCAAATTTCCAGTGTGGTTTATCATAATGAACCATCACTGTTTATCTTCTTCACCTGGGTAATGCATTTTAATTTATGCATTAAATATATGCTCAAGGATTTGACATTGACATTTCCAATATTTAAAAAAAAATCACATCTCATCCTAATGTAATCTAAAGTTACAAACGCATCTAAAGGGATTCAGGACAAGTGTAGTCAACCACAGTAAGTCATCAGGTAAAGTCATTGTTGAATCATTGTTTGGCGATGAAGAACTATAAATAACTTCTTAAGGCAATTATTAATAAAACGAGGGATTTAGATCAAAATCACTAAATCAGGGTTCCACTTGATTATAAAGAAAATATCAAAATAGCTCAGTCTCAGTTTTTTTTTTTTTTTGTAAATTAAAACAATAGTTGAGTGTTTGCACATTTTGTGTCCCTGATGGTCAAAAGAGCACAAGTGTTGTCTTAGTCCTTTGTTATAAGGTCCTCATGACATCACAGTTTCCTTTCTGAAACTCTTCCTCTTAACTGCTGATGGACCAAAGTGGGTAAAGTCAATGAAATCAAGTAGTTATACCAGCCTCCTGCAGTGTCAGTCCTTCATGGCTGGAGGCACAGCATCACACGCTTGTTCTGGCAGAATCTTAACTGCTACAACTTATTTGAGATGAGGGTCTTCTGTAAAACAATGAATAAAGCCAAATTTATCTGTTCATTCTATTTGGCCAATAAAGTGTTTGCTGAGTGTGATTTTTTGCTCAGCCTTACGGCAATGAAACAAGGTAAAATGTCTAATTTCCTGTTAAAGGGTGCATTTTGTTTTAGATTAGGACAGAAGGAAAGTACCAGGAGCTGGCAGAGAGCAGTGCAGAAGATCTGACCAGAAAACCAGGTTTGTATGAGTCAAGGTACGATTTCAGGTCTTTGTGCGCTGATGTGGAAGCGCTTCATTAAACGGAGGATGGTGGAAGAAGAGGGTCGTAAATTCAGGCACTGATACCACACGCGGCGTTCGAAGCAAGAGATGAGGGGTTAGTTGTCAGCTGCAGCTGGGTTGAAAACTAGAGAATGATGATTTCCCCCTGGATCGTCTGGACGAAACCGTCTCATTCGATAAGGACCTGAAAGAACTCCGGATCCCAGGACACGTCACAGATGCATTCCAGAAGATAATTTATTCCATCTGCTCAGGAATAAGATAAAAATAGAAATAGTTAGGGGGGAAAAACTATTTCTTTTCATTGGTTATTTGTGCGGCAAACGCTACCTAAAATACACTGGTGAGAACATTCATCTTCTACAGCAGCCTGTTTTCCTAAAAACGTGTTGAGTAATCAGGCAACAGGGGAGATAATTTTCACAGTTTTATGTTGTTGAGTAATTTTAGGATCTCATCTCTCTGGCACTGTGACTTATAATACCTTCCTATCTTCAAGCAATGCTCAAATATCTCCACTAGAGGCTCCCTGTTGAGTCGACTACACACACATCCACTCGTCTGACAGCCACACACACACACACACACACACACACGCATACATTCCCTCATGCTGTTCCCTTCAAATAGACCTGCAGAGCGGAGAGCAGGGTGGATTGCTATTTGGCATTGCAGGGCATTAGCCGCTGATGTCTTAACACTTGTAAATGAACCTTCCTCCCCTCCTAATCTGTCACTTTAATGCACTATAGATTTTATTTCAGCCTCTGTAGTATCACATTCTCAATAATAATCATCAAGCCAACACTGTTGTCCCCCTCCTGCAGAAATTAAATCTCGCCACCGAGTGCACAACTAATAAAAGATGTTGCTGGAGGAAATAAAAAAATAAATATGATGAATCATAAGCAGCGGGGATTTGTATTCAGATGCAAAAGACAATTACATAAAGAGTTTGAATTTATCAGCCTCTTCTCCTCTCAAAGGCTCAATAATGGACAACCACCGGCAGGCGTTTGGCGTTGCATGCTAAGAAACACGCATAAACGAGCTTTTGTGGACATCTGCGCACACACAGAGCAAACACATTCAAGCATTAGCAAAGCCGCAGCATCACGCACTCATAACTGCACTTGCAACTTGAAATGTCTCTATTAGACGAACAGGAAGTGAACGTAATCTGTGTGTTTCAGGTAGCCTAGACAACATCAACTGCATCATAAAAAAAAATCAGGGATTGGTGTTTTCAAAATTGAGGTAATAAGGAGAAAAAAACTAATGTTATATAGTCAAAGATGGAAAAAAAAAATGTTTGAACCCAAGAAGACAGTTTCAGAGGTAGGCAGAGATGTTCCTGCCCAGCACAACAAATGATATTTTATCATCTATTTAGTCTATGATTATTATTTTTTTTTATTATTCAGAGAAAAGGGTAAAATTCGACATTAGTAAAAACCAAGATCTAAGACATTTCAATGGTTTCGTGTTTTTTAGGTTGTTATTTTTTCGCACTTAAATGTTTTGGACCATGAAAATAATTTAAAAATTAAATAACCATAGCAATTGCAAAAAAAAGAGTTTTGGAATTATGATTTCATTAATGAAGAGAAAAAGTCATTTCATCCCAACCTGGTTCTACTTGGAAAAATCCTCTAAGTCTAACGATGCTCTGGGTTCTTTGGATCATTCCCCTGCTGCCGACACCAAGTGTGTTTGCACCTGAAGGGTTTGGTCATATTTTTTGAAGTAAGATCTTGTAGCATTATTATCTGTAATAGTTTCCATAGCTGCTGTAGAAATATGCCATATGAGTGTCATCTTGTTGAAAATGTTAGGGAATCCTACGTGTGGGGGAGCTAACAGTCAAACTGTAAAGTTTCATATAAACTATGTTAAAGTGTATTTCAGCAGTCATGTCTGGGTTCTGTTAAGCTGAACATCACCCAGGTTTCTGTGTATTTGCTCTTCTTGAGGTGAATTGTGAACTTTTTATAAATCACTTTAGAGCCACTGCTAGAGCATTAAACCTTCAGTCCAAGACCAGGTTTATTAAGTATGTAGAAACAAAAGCAGTGACATTATTGAAAAAACAATCTACCCAGTTCTGACTTGTGGGGATACGTCATCACTGACATTTTAACAAAAGCTCCTTTCATTTTTTCACAAATTTTTAGATTTTTTTGCTGCGGAGTGATTTACAAAGTTTTCTATCTGCTACTTTTAGGGCACTCATAAAAGCACAACAAAGCATTAAACTGTGCCTAATTTCTTTATATTTTCTCTAAGAATTGATTGTGATCTTTTAATTTGGTCTTTATTAGTCTCTCCGCACTTTCTGAAGATTTTTAAACTTTTAATTGGAGGTTTTAAGTAAAACATGTAACTGAATCATCACTTTACTGGTTTGTAAAGCAAAT